TAAAAATATTATTATTATTATTATTATTTTTATTATTATTATTACTAATGTTATTCTATAGCATACAGCACTTCATATTGCCAGCAAGAAAGGACATTCACAAGTTGTTAAAGTACTACTCGATCATGATCGTGCTTCATTCATTAATGACACTGATTCTTGTAAAGTAAGAAGCATGAGTAGTATTTATTATTTATTGTTGTTAGTATTATTATTATTATTATTATTATTATAAAATAAAATAAAATCTCAAATGACACAGGTAGGTTAGGTAGAGTTAGAAATAGAGAGGAAATAAAATATTATGTTATATTTAAAGAGGAAGAATAAGAATAAGAGTAATATTTAAGACATTATGAGGGATAGAGTTGCATCATCCATCATATCAATGGTCCGCCACTTAGTCCTTGAGCCTCTTAAACATAGAATAGTTGCTCTCATGATAGCAAAAGACATATGAGTCCTCAACCAACAAATAATCTCACTGTAACTTCTCTCCCATTTGCATGACAACCTATCAGCTAATCTTTTCAAAAAACACTTGCTTCTCTGCCCATCATTCCATCCACCGAGGTGCATAATGGTGTGAACATCGCCCTCCTCTCTTCACATTATTATTATTATTATTATTGTTATTATTATTATTATTATTATTATTGTTTAGTGTACTCCACTTTTCATTGCATGTGAGGAAGGACATGCACAGGTAGTTAAAGTATTGCTGGAGTATGATGCTGATGTCACTGTAGCTGATCAGGATGGTCTTAATCCTCTTGATATTGCTGTAGAGGAAGGACACAGGTGAAGATTATTGATTAATTTTGATGCTTGATCTGTTTTGTTGTATTAAATATTTCAATCAAATTTGGATTTTTATAAATTTTTAAAGCTGTTCGAAAATTGGGCCAAAGTCCCTGTACTATGGTCGTTTGTCAAATTTTGTCAAAATTGAAAAGGAGAGATCTCCATTTCTTATATTTTTATCTGATGCATATACATGTTCTTATGTTATGTAGCAAGTTTGAGCTGATTCTGTTCAAAATCAGATTTTTAATGAATTTTAAAATTTACTCAAAAATTGGGCCAAAGTTCCTGTACTGTAGTACAGGGTAATTTGTCAACAATTAATAGGAGAGAATTCTCAATTTTGAGCTGATTTTAATCAAATGTTATATATTTGATTCTTGTTCAGTTACTAGTACAAGTTCTTTTTAATGTAGAAATGCTGCATTGGCTATAGTCAATAGTGACCAGTGGGAGTTTGCATTACGAAATTACATTTATAAGACTAAAAGAAATGGAGTGAGAAAATGGTGTCCATGGATTGGAAGAAGAAAAGACTCAACAGAGTCTAAAACACAAATCATAACACCAATGAGAAGAATAATTATGAAACTGCCAGGTTAGTTTTTAAATATTGTACAATTTTTAAATTCTCCTTTAGATGTAGCTAGAGCTGTTTTTGATCGCTGTTGTGTTAAAAAATTATCGCCGGATGATCCTGATTTTGAGATCACTTGTAATTATGAGTTTCTTGAAGATTTTGATTTACAGTAAGAATGATTAAAATTTGTCATCATTTATTACTATTTTCTAGTGATGATTATCCATTTTCTAAGTGGCCTCCACCATCAGAATACTCTAGTCAGAACCACTGTCTTTATATTCTTGTAAGTCAAAATAATGATAACGATAGTAATAGTACTGTAGGGCAACTTTTTTTTAGAGCTGTAAATTTCGCAGATTTTGTGATTTTCTTCAAGATTCACGAAAATTACTTCCACGAAAATCAAATTAATACAGTACAAGATGGCAGATAGCATAAATTCGTAAAAATTAAATCTGCAAAATTAAAATCCACAAAACCTATAGCCCTCGAAAAAAGGCGCCCTACGGTAATTGAGTTTTACCAGCAAAGAAAAAACAAAAAATGAAATGCATTCAAAATGTTGCATGCAATAAAGAAATATGATACATGTTAGTCTCACCCTGAAGGGGGGGGGGGTGCGAGACTAAATACATGTAAATAGCATAATTATGACAAAGATTGTAGTATGGCAATAATCCCTTCAAATTCATTGCTTCATTGCTTAGTACTTGGTTGATTATTGTTTTAACAACTCAGGCTGCTATTCATAATTATGATCAATTATATCAGGAGTATTCTTTATTATAGGCTAACTCACCAAGCTCAGATTTGCTAAAGCATCCTCTTGCTTCTTCACTTCTTGATCGAAAATGGAGTAAATATGGACGAATAGTCTATTACACTAATTTGATATTTTATTTTATTTTTGTTATTCTACTGGGATCATTTGCTCTGACTGTCCCTTCACCAAATTCTACATTATGTAAGTTATAAAGTAGTTTATGAATTACCTATCATGATTAT